AGCACAGGCCGCTGGGAGCCGGGGGCTGAGTCAGCACGCCGCCCATTGGTCACTCATACGCCCGCTGAGCTCTGAATCCCAGTGGTCTTGGATGTTGCTGAGGACGCAGCAGCATGCCTCCTGGGGCCCAGGGCATGGGGACCGGGCTCCTCATCCTGCCACCCCAGGCAGGCGTGACCCTGCCCTCTGCCCCTCCTCGAGCCCCGTGGCACACACAGTGGAGCGAGCGTGCCGAGTGCTGGCTCCTCCCTCCTTTCCAAGACCTCCACGCTGCCCCTGCTGACTTCGGGCCCCACCCCCTCTCCCCAAGTGGGTCCTGCTCCCCAACCGCCTCCCGCAACCCACCCCAGGAGGCCTTGCCAGGCAGACTGCACACGCTGTACTTGGGAACAGGGGCCTCTGTTGTGGAGGGCAGCAGGGGATGCGGGACCCGTGACCCAGGCCTGGCAGCCCGCGAGGCTCGCTGGGCGGGAGCACTGTCAGGTCTTCCACTTCCCGCTTGAGACGCGGCTTCAGCGACCTATCTCTCCTAGGGCACAGCACAGAGCCAGTCATCCAGGAGAATGGGGACGAAGCTGTCGAGGGCAGAGACCCCAAGGAGCCTGACCCGGGCTCCCCACGGAGGTGCGACATCATCACCATCTCGGGCCGGAAGGAGAAGTGTGAGGCCGCTAAAGAAGCTCTGGAGGTGTGGGGCCTCCCTTTCCGGGCAGTCACGGGTTCCTGGGAGTCGGGGCGGCAGCACTGGGTCTGCCCACGGAGGTCGGAAGGGTGAGACACCTGTAGACACCTGTGGGCCTGGGGGGCAGCTCACCCTGGATGGGGTCTAGTGAGCGGGTAAGTGTGACCGCCATCCCCAGGCCCCCCGGGGAGGGGACGACCAGGCCTAGCTCAGCTCTTGGTGAGTTGGGTGGGCTCCGCCCGTGTGGAGTGCAGGGGTGGGTCTGTGAGTTAGAGGTGGCACTGTGGCGGGAAGGCAGGGCAGGAGGAGCAGGCAACAGAGACGGGTGGCCAGGTGAGGCTGACTTGGGGGTCTCCTTGTGCCCACCTCACTCCCGAGGGCCGGAGGGCCGATGAATGCAGCCTTAACCCGGCACCTGGGTCCTAGTCCTGTCGCGTTAAAGGCCCAAGTGGCGCGGTCAGTCAGGGCGCTGTCGGCCTCGCAGGGCTGCTCTGCCTCGCGGCCTAAGCCACATCTCCTGCAGGCACTGGTTCCTGTCACCATCGAAGTGGAGGTGCCTTTTGACCTTCACCGTTACATCATCGGGCAGAAGGGGAGTGGCATCCGCAAGATGATGGACGAGTTCGAGGTAGACCCCACAACGTCCGAGCGGGCCCTCGCGTCTGCAGTCACGGACAGAAGCCGGGGCTTGGCCCTGGGCTCCGGCTGCCTGAACACTGACGCCCGTCCTGCAGGTAAACATCCACGTCCCCGCGCCCGAGCTGCAGTCCGACGTCATCGCCATCACAGGCCTCAGCAGTAACCTGGACCGGGCCAAGGCTGGGCTGCTGGAGCGCGTGAAGGAGCTGCAGGCCGAGCAGGAGGACCGCGTGAGCTCCGGGCAGGGCTGCCACCTGGGTCTCAGGGTCCCGGCACCGGGGAGGACCTGGCCCTGCAGCGCCCCAGCTCCTTGGGCTGTGGCAGGCTGTGTGCAGAGGCCCCACGGATGAGCACAGGGCACGGCACTCCTGTCATTTCCACCAAGAGCAGAAGACGGAGTCCCGGTGTTAATCTGGGGTTTCTCTTAAAACCAACTCAGAAGAGACATGGGGGGTGACCACTGCACCCCTGTCAGGGGCCAGGAGCCTGGGCTCCTGACAGTGCTTGTTCTAAAGGGCCCTGGGAGCAGCTCAGCCAGGTCAGGCCCTCCTGGGGTGAGCTGTGCAGGCGGGACATGGCCACCCACTCAGCCACTGGCTGTGTGTGTAGCTGGGAAAACTAGGCCAACAGGTCACGGAACTACCCAGGCCCCCGTTTCCTGAGCACAGACCACCCCTCCCTTATCAAGACTTGGCAGGCGTGCCCCTTCAAAGGCTTTCTGGCCCTCCAGGTAGGGTGGTCATGGCCTTGGGTTCCCCTCGCCAGCCTGTGATGGGCAGTGGCAGGTCCGACGGAGATGCCCTGTCTCTGGATGCAGGGTCACCTGTACGGGGGTTGGCCTGTCAGGACCAGGGTGGAGAGGGCACTGGGCATGGCTCAGGACTGGGGCTGTCTGCTCATCCTCGCATCTCATCCGTAGGCTCTAAGGAGTTTTAAGCTGAGCATCAGTGTAGACCCCAAGTATCACCCCAAGATTATCGGGAGGAAGGGGGCCGTGATTACCCAGATCCGCTCCGAGCACGATGTCAACATCCAGTTTCCTGATAAGGATGATGGGAACCAGGTGAGCAAGAGCGCCAGGCAGCTCCCCCCGCGGGGCAGGCAGGCTCTCATCGCCCTCTGCCCTGGCCAGGGAGGCTGATGGTACACCGCGGTGTGGGGCCTGGCAGCTGCTGAGATGGGTTGGGTTACCTAGCACAGTCCCCTGGGCACCATGTGCCGTCTGACAGCCAGCCTCCTGGGTGCCACGCCTGCTGGAAGTGCCTGGTGACCCCGTTCCCAGCACCACGGCGCACCCCTACTGCCCTCCATCTGGGCTAGCTGCTCCCGGCTCAGCCTGGATCGCCCTGCTGAGCTCCCCGCCCACCGGGTGTGCGTCAGCATGCCAATGGGAGCCCAGCATGCCTCGGTGGCCACAGTGGCTGTGCCCAGCAGAGAGCCCAGTCAGTCACTGAAGCCGGTCCTGCAGCCTCGGCCTGCCCCCACTCCAGGCCTGCCCTACCCACCTGTACAGCCTCTGGCTTCCTTTGCCTCTCAGAGTCATACACGTGCAGCCCACCTGGATCACGGGTGCCCATGCAAGGACCTCCTCGTGGGCATGGCACCTGGGGCATTGGCTGCCCTGCCCTGCTCCTGCTCCCCAGGGCAGGCCCGTTAGCCCTGCGTGGTGCCCTGCACAGTGCTCACTGACGGTGCTGAGCTGGCCGTGTTGTGCATTACTCTGTAACTGCCCACGGGCATGGGTGCTCACCAGAGAGACAGCCAAGGAGAAGGCGCAGGTGCCCCTAACGGAGCATGGTCACTCCATGCTCTTGTCCCTCTCTCCATCCTGTTGGGATTTGGGACACACATACACTGGCGTGACTCCAGCTGCCGGGGCCAGGCTTTGAACTGTGGTGGGCCGTGTGTGGGCTGGCTCCCCGCACCTGGCAGTGGCTGGCTCTGCGACTCTGGTGTTTTCCATGTCCCCTCCTGAGCCTGCGTGGTGACCCTGTGTGCCTGCAGGGAGGCCCGAGTGAACAAGAGGGCTCCTGGGGGTGGAGCGTGGGCCGGCTGTTCTCCAGTAGGGCCGAACCCCAGCCACTGCCCAGGAGGGTGAAGCGGGAGGCCGGGGTCTCAGGGTTCTTGGCCTTGCCCTGTCATCCCAACCCACGCGGTGCCCTTGAACCCAGGGCTCTGTCTGCCAGGGCCCACTCGTGGGGAGTTGTGCTCTCCAGTTCTGCATCGCTGCATGGGGGCTCTGGGGAGCCACTGTGCAACTTCGCTGGCCTGCTGCTGAGAAGCAGCCGCTGGGGCCAGCTCTACTGTGCGGTGGTGACCTTGGCGATGTGGCTCCCAATCTCCTGTCCAGTCAGCTCAGAGCCCACAGGGCAGCAAGAGGACAGAGCCTGTGTGGCCTGTACTTGTCCTCGCTCTCGAGCCTCCCTGAGCAGGCCCCCGTGGGCAAAGAAAATCTCCTTAAATCCCTTGTGATGCTCCACCTCCTTCCCTTGGGACTGGCAATGCTTTTGTGAGGGTAAAGGCCCCGGACGCCCTTCGCTCCTTCCTGACAGCCGGCTGCACTCTGGCCTGGGCGCCCTCTCACTGCCCACTGCCCTTCCTCATGCAGCCCCAAGACCAGATCACCATCACAGGGTATGAGAAGAACACAGAGGCTGCCCGGGACGCCATCCTGAAGATCGTGGGCGAGCTCGAGCAGATGGTCTCTGAGGACGTGCCCCTGGACCACCGCGTCCACGCCCGCATCATCGGCGTACGTGGCAAGGCCATCCGCAGGGTCATGGACGAGTTCAAGGTGCGCCCTCCTGTAGACTGGGAGCTGTACCTGCCGGGACCCCAAGGCTGGGGTCTTCCTGTCCAGGTGCCAGCCACACGGGGGCCATGGAGGGCCAGGGCTGGCACAGGCATGCCTCTGGTGCTGGGAAAGGAGGGCAGATGGTCCTGGCCAGGACATGCAGGGACCACGACCCCTCTGTTGCCGGAGGACATGGCGTCCCAGGTGCACCAGCCCTCCCCCTTGGCAATGAGGGTGCCTTTTTAAGGAGATTTTCGCTATAGGGCATGTGCACTGGCCAGAGAGACAGAAAGTGAGAAATCTGCCCCGCAGAGGGGAGGCCACACAACAGTCCCTTCTCCGTTCTGCTCGCGGGATTTGGGGCACATACACATGCGCCTGGCGTGAATTTAAGCCACCGAGCCTGGGACGCAAAGTGCAGTGGACTCTGACGGCCGCGTACACCGGCACAGCACCCGCCGGTCCCCAGGGTAGCTTTCTTTGTGAACTTTTTTTTTTTTTTTTGGAGAGATTTTCACTGTAGGGCGCGTGCGCTCGCCAGACAGACAGAGAGAGACATAGAGACAGAAAGCGAGAAATCACCCCCCAGGGGGGATGGTCACGCCGCAATCCCTTCTCCTCCATTCTCCTCTCGGGATCTTGGGCACGCACGCACGCACACGCGCCCGGCGTGAGTTTTAAGCCACCGGGTCCGGGACATGAACCGCGGTGGACTACGTGGGAGTCCAGCGACATAGCCATTACGCTAACTGCTGGTTCCCCCCAGGGTAGCTTTCTTGAGGAGACCACCCTGAAGCCAGGGCTCTGAATCTCCGTTAGCTCTGAGGGCTGAGGGTGGGTCCCCGGCCCTCACCGCCTCGGCTGGCATGTCCCTGCAGGTGGACATCCGCTTCCCGCAGAGCGGTGCCCCAGACCCCAACTGCGTCACCGTGACGGGGCTCCCAGAGAACGTGGAGGAAGCCATCGACCACATCCTCAACCTGGAGGAGGAATACGTGAGTCCTGGGGGTGGGGGTGGGAGGGCAGGTGGGCTGTGCCCCGAGCTCAGGCAAGGCCAGGTGGCCGGCCTGGCTGCAGACTGACCGCTTGTCCGGGCCGCAGCTGGCAGACGTGGTGGGCAGCGAGGCGCTGCAGGTGTACATGAAGCCGCCTGTGCACGAGGAGGCTAGGGCCCCGTCCAAGGGCTTCGTGGTGCGGGACGCTCCCTGGACAGCCGCCAGCAGCGAGAAGGTGAGCATCTGCCCTGGCCCTGCGCGGGCGCCCCGAGAGCAGGCAGTCCTCTAATGCTGCATCCTCTCCCCACAGGCTCCTGACATGAGCAGCTCTGAGGAATTCCCCAGCTTTGGGGCTCAGGTGGCCCCCAAGACCCTCCCATGGGGCCCCAAGCGATAATGACTGGGAAGCAGAGCCTCCCTGGCCCGCTGACCTGAACCCGCCCTGCGTGGCCCGTTTTGGTCTGACCAGCGGCTGGCCGTTATCAACGCCCCTCCCGAGGTCTTGCAGTGAAGCCCACGGCCCGCCCCGGGCCTGGGACCTGCTCCTGGCCCCGCCCGGCCCAGCCAGCGAGCCACCATCGGCGCCGAAGGCCCGGGAGCACGGCATGGAGCGTGCTCGCCAGCCGCCCGCATGACCTTTCCAGAGCTCCGCAGCCGCGGCTAGGGTCGGCTTCCTGTGTCATGGCCTCAGGAAATAAATTCCTTGACTTTGTAAAAGCCAAAACGTCTGCCCTCTTCCTTTCCCACCTCCCTCTGGCTGCCAGAGCGTGTGGCCCCCCTGGCTGCAGGGATGAAGCCTCAGAGCGCCCCCATGGACCTGGGGAGCGAGGCGTGGGGGCACGGGTGTGGGCACCACTGGGCTCCCACGGAGGTCCTGCAGCCTAGGGTGCTGGCCGGGCTTGCCCTCCCCGCCACCCCCGTGTCCAATGCCTCTTCTACCTCAGCCAGGGCCACCCGGCGCTCCCGGCCGAGTCCATGGTCCCGAGTGCCCAACATCCCCCAGGCCCAGGGAAGGCCCAGCCCCCGGCCTGAGCAGCAGGGTCCTGGTGCCCTGGGCGGAGGGGCTGCGGCTCCGCCTGCACTGGAAGTGAAGACATTGCAACGGGCTGCTCCGAGGGCCGGGCTGCCAGCCTTGGTGCACCTTAGGAGTGGAAGGTGTCCCTGAGCAGGAGGACAAAGACAGGTGTCCTGACCTCCAAGCCGCCCCCCCACCTCTGTTCCTCACAGAGGTGGCCGAGTCCCTAGCTGTCCAACCCCCAATACTCGAGGTCCTGGAGAAGCCACTCGCACCCACTGCATTGCCCTTCTTGGGGACACTGCTGGACGCCCTCCCCCCACGGCTCCTCCATCACCGCCTGAGCCACTGAGCCCAGGTCTGGCAGGTTCCTCAGTGAGCCAGGCAGCGCTTAGGGAAGCACGGCTAGGAGGGGCACCTGGGCTTAGGCAGATGGGGCTGGAGGAAGAGCTGGCACTGCCCACCTTCCTGGCAGGGGAATGGACCTGCCTGCCCCTTTGTCTTTCCTGGTGTTCTCTAGCATCCGCCCCAGCTCCCCGTGGCCAAATCCACACCCTCACAGGAAATCACACCCCCTCCACTGTGGAGGGGCATCTGAGGGGCATCGTTGCCAGCCCGTCCTTCAGCTGCCCAGGGCCCCGCTCCTTTTCTGGTTGAAGTTTGTGGAATAGCCATGCCCAGGCCCCTCTCCCCACAGCTTCCGGCACTGGCACCCCTGGTCGGGTTGGTGAGTGTATGCTCCTCGAATGTCTTCCGTATCGTGTTTCCATAGCTGCGATCCGTCCCTTGGCCTTAACTTTGGAATTTGGAGATTATATGCAAACGTGTAAAGGCTCGTGAATATGGATGACACTGGATTTTTATAAATTCTGAAATAAAACCTGAGACCGGACTCCAAGTGCTGGGCCTCGTTCGTTCCGTCGTGCTGTGTGGGGCCGAGTCCCTAGCTGTCCAACCCCCAATACTCGAGGTCCTGGAGAAGCCACTCGCACCCACTGCATTGCCCTTCTTGGGGACACTGCTGGACGCCCTCCCCCCACGGCTCCTCCATCACCGCCTGAGCCACTGAGCCCAGGTCTGGCAGGTTCCTCAGTGAGCCAGGCAGCGCTTAGGGAAGCACGGCTAGGAGGGGCACCTGGGCTTAGGCAGATGGGGCTGGAGGAAGAGCTGGCACTGCCCACCTTCCTGGCAGGGGAATGGACCTGCCTGCCCCTTTGTCTTTCCTGGTGTTCTCTAGCATCCGCCCCAGCTCCCCGTGGCCAAATCCACACCCTCACAGGAAATCACACCCCCTCCACTGTGGAGGGGCATCTGAGGGGCATCGTTGCCCGCCCGTCCTTCAGCTGCCCAGGGCCCCGCTCCTTTTCTGGTTGAAGTTTGTGGAATAGCCATGCCCAGGCCCCTCTCCCCACAGCTTCCGGCACTGGCACCCCTGGTCGGGTTGGTGAGTGTATGCTCCTCGAATGTCTTCCGTATCGTGTTTCCATAGCTGCGATCCGTCCCTTGGCCTTAACTTTGGAATTTGGAGATTATATGCAAACGTGTAAAGGCTCGTGAATATGGATGACACTGGATTTTTATAAATTCTGAAATAAAACCTGAGACCGGACTCCAAGTGCTGGGCCTCGTTCGTTCCGTCGTGCTGTGTGGGCTCGCGCTCCCCGAGGAGGGGATGGCACAGGCACTGGGTCCTCCCAGCCACTGCCCTGTGAAGCCACGTCGGGGAGTCCCGTGCGGCCAGTGGCCGAGGTGGATGGAGTGACCCAGCCACAGAGGCCCCCCAGCTCAGGATCCTCGCCCAAGTGCCCCCAGCAGGCAGCCTCACAGCGTTAATTCTAGGAGGGGCTGGGTTCCCAGCAGATGCCCCTGGGCTGTGGGGAGCTGGTGGATGCAGGGACGCAGGAGCGGGGCTGAGCGCGGGGGCCGGGGTAGCACCCACCCGGGCGTGGGCACCGCCCATCCCCAGCCAGAGCAGAATGGCTCGGCAGGACAGACCAACTCCCAGTCTGCCCCGGGGACCTGGCAGCCAGGGGACAGCAACACAGAGAAGCTGATGGCCATAGTGTCCACCGAGGGGCAGGCACAGATTCCACAGTCAACCTGGGCTTAGTGCCGAAGCAGGGCGGGGTGACACATGGCCAGGCCCTGGTGGCCAACAGGGTGTTCCTCGGCCCATCTCTGTTTAAATAATTTACCTTAAATTCCATTTACAGCGACACACAGAAGCGGCCCCCTGGAAGGCAGTGTCAGGTGTCAGAAAGTCCAGACATGCTTTTCTGTGCAAAAATGCACCGCAACTTGCCCGAGGACCTGCTGCTTGGGGTCTGCAGAGATCTCACCTGGCAAGCCCCTCACCCACTGCCCCGGGCGTGCAGTCGGACTACCTGGGGTCGTGGTGCCCAGCCACATGGGACAGCCCTTGCCCAGTGGCAAGCCTGGCGCTCTCGGGGCGGGCGCAGGGGCAACAGACCTGAGAAACACTGCAGCCCTGCGGTGACTCCTAGCCCAGAGCCAGCGGGTAGGCACACTGCCCTCTAGGCCACGGGCTCCACACAGCACAGCGGGGAGGGACTGCATGGCAGTGGGCAAGTGAGTCCACGTGTGGCCACCACAGACAGGTCAGAACTGCCCCCACCCAGCCGGAGGGAGCTGCAGACAGACAGGTCCCTTGGCAGGTGCTACAGGGCCGCCAGGCTGACAGGTGCTGTCTCACTTCACAAGGTGGTCTCTGCACACCTCCACAGGGACACGTGGAGTGTTCTAGGCCCCAGGAAGCTGGTAAGCACAGCAAGTGGCCCAGCAGCTGGGAGAGCTGGGACACAGCTACCTTGCACGTATGGCCTGCAGGGAGTGAGGCTGCACCTGGTCTGCTCCCATAGCCGGCCACGCCTGCAGGGGAACAGGCACAAGGAACAGGTAGCGCCCAGAGGACACAGAAGCTGGGAGCGCAGGAAGGCAGACGAGCCTGTGTGGCTTGGGGCGTGGGTGAGGGCCTGCGAGTGGGGATGCAGGAGGGCAGGAAGAGGCCGATGCCCCTACTCCCTCATGGAGGGTCGCAGGCCCAAGGGGCATGGAACAAAGACCGGAGAACTCAGGAGTCCACAGCTTTATTGGCAGAAGAGTCCCTTGGGGGCTACTGGGCCACTGGGGAGTGTAGACAGGGAACGGACTGGGGCGAGTAAAGGCCCCTCCGTGCAGGTGTGGGAAGCGGCAAGGCGGGTTGGAAAGGCAGGCTCGGAGAGGCGGCCGTGTGCCCAGACCCAGCGTTTCACCAGGGCAGTGCCCGCAGGCCACCCGCCGTCAGGGTGCTGTGCAGCTGTCAGGCCTCGGACCCCTACAGAGGCCTGGGAGGCGGGACCTGTGAACAGAGGCCAGGCAGCCGACCCACAGCAGGCGCTGAGCCTGGTGACCTGGGCAGAAGCTGGACCAGAAGTCTGTGCACCTCGGCGGGGAGGGCGCGGAGCGGGCGCTCTGGGAGCCCTTGCAGGCCCACACTTTCCTCTAACCCTGTGTCTGCTCATCTCTGAATACACTTGTCCCCAGGAAACAGTGGGGACAACGGTCCTAAGACTGACCTGAGAAACAGCAGCAGCTGCAAAGGCCCTCCACCCTCTGCGGAGGGCGCAAGGCTGGCACCCAGCAGGGCAGTCCAGGACCCACACCTGGGAACCCAGAACCTGCCTAGAGACGGGCAGGGCTCACCTCGCTCTCGCTTTCCCAGCGCTTGGCCTCCATGGACTCAGGGATGGCGGGTATGAGGTACAGGCCCGGCCAACGGGGACACCACCAGCCGGGTGCAGACGAAGTGCCCCACCCTCCCCACCCTCGAAAAGCAAATGCCAGATGGGCCTTCACGGCAGGTGGGCCTGGGCTTGAGTGCCTGCCCCTCAGATGTGGGCCCAACAGGGAAGGAAGCCCTGGTTGTGCGAACCCGGAAGACCTACCCTGGAGCACAGCCAGGGGCCAGGCCAGGCAGAGACGAGCGAAGATCGGCCCCAGACGGCAGTGTCAGGCCTAGCCCCCAGCCCTGGCTGGCACACACGGGACCACACGGGTGTTGGGGCTGGGGCTGGGGGACGGGCCCTGGGCGTCCTGGAGCACCACAGTAATGGCCAGGAGACCGCAGTCGTCCGGAAGGCCTGGTACCTGCAAGAGATGCAGCCCGGCGCGCAGCCAGGCCCCTGTCCTCGGGCTCCCTCCCCTGGGGCCTGCGGGGGCCTGGCTCTGCGCGGAGCACGAGAGTGGCAACGCCCGCGCGGGTGCACAGCGCGCAGCTCACCGCGGGGCCGCAGGCAGAGGCAGCAGCTGCCCCTGGCCCTGATCGGGCTCGCCTGCGCGTGCGGTTGTGCCCGGCGGCGCAGGCGGGCCGGGCGCGCCCACCGGGAGGAGGCTCGCGCAGGAGCTCGGACGCGAA